GCAGTGTTTATCTTCAATGAGGAATAAAAAATGATACAATATTAAAAGTGAATTCTAACTAAAATACCTCAGCTGCCAGTGACCTGATCTGACCATGTCATATGCTTGTCGGGTTTGATGCAACTCAGACAAACTACCATGAGATGTGACTGAAAGGTGAGTACGGTAGAGCATAAGCCCAGGTAACACTACCTTAGTGTGTTGCATTTGTTAGAAAATATAGAATTAGCTGGAAGTGTACGTTGGATCACTCCCTGAAGTCATAAATAAAGTGAAAGTTTAAAGCAAAGATGACTGGTCCATAATTGTCAATAAGTTGTTTTGAAGCAACTGTGCCATTTTGCGGATGTGCTGGCTAACTTTGAGATGCTTCTTTTTATCTAAACAAAACATGCTTTTTGTTTTCTTTCTATTCCTTGACCTGATGCTATTTCTTTTGCAATATTTTGACTATATTTAAAAGCATTCCCAACTAAAATTGCTGTTGCCCATTTGTCTGTTTACTTGTTTATTCTACTAATACATCTAAATAATTCTTACAAAGACAGCTAAGGAGCAGATAAACTTAATTTTGTGTGGATTTTGTGGTTAAGTAAATGCCCTATAATCAAATTCCGATACACGGATCTAATAGATTGCTCGACATTCGATCGTTTACAATGTAGCGCATGCGCGCTGCTCGCTCTTCCTTTCCCTTGCTTCTCCGCAATGGCGCCTATTGTAAGTAAAATCGCTTGTGAACAAAGTCGCTTAAACGTTACGTTTAGAGTAAATTGGAAATTATGGACAGCGCGAGTGATAAAGCGACGATCTCTTCTAGCCATTGATAGAACCAGTGAACATTTTTGGCTAGAATGTAATGCATTTTAATGCGAAAAAACTCAGACGAGCTCCGATGGGGCCTGTGGCTTCTGCTAGCTTGTTAGCCGAGCTTCTTCACCACGTTGTTCCGTCAGTGTGACAGTGTTGTTTTTTAACTGTGAAAATCCATATTGTCAAACAATTTAACACATATGACACCTTCCTAGGTTTTATTTGACTATTTAAAAGCTTTCTATGTGTGTGGGTACTGCTTATTACGACGCGAAAGTTTCACTGACCATGTACATGTAAACCAGTATGATTGGTGACGTGCATTAATATTTACTCATACTGTTCAACTCCTGTGTTTAATTTGTTGAGCAGAAGAAGCAAAGCACCGGTAAAGGTGGCAAAAAGAAGAAGCAGGTCCTGAAGTTCACTCTTGACTGCACTCACCCCGTGGAAGATGGAATCATGGACGCTGCTAGTTTCGTAAGTATACAACCACGAACACCGGAAAGATACATAAACATATAATTATTAATTCAGCTCCCCAGCAGAAGACATGCCTTGACTGTTGAAGTCGCCAAAAAGCAAGTGTTATGGATACATCTTTACTGCCACTGTGTCTTTATGATGACAGATCTCTTCATGATAATAGTTAAATGAAACATCTGAGTTGCAGGGTTTATTTTTTAAACATCAGCTGGTAATCATCTCCTACCTCAGACTAAATGTTTGCGTGTCAATTTCAGGAGAAGTTTCTTCAGGAACGCATTAAGGTGAACGGAAAAGCCGGCAACCTTGGTGGCGGTGTGGTGACTATTGAGAGGAGCAAGAGCAAGATCACTGTGTCCTCTGAGGTTCCCTTCTCTAAAAGGTAGGATGTTGTCCCATTTGTTATCTCTACTACTGGTGGTACCATAACTTGTGGGGTCAAAGGTTACAGTTGTTTTAGACCTGAATATGCTCATATAGAAATCCAGGGCCGGGTGTCTTAAAAACATATGCAGTGGTGGACTTTATTAGGACTTTATTTCATTTTAGTAAATTCATTCAATGTCCAAGATGGTAAAATATTTTTTGGTAAATCCTTCTCTCATACACTACAGTGTGTTTTGCTTTCATGCCTCACTGTGTGTATATCAGTCTTTTCCAAAGTCTTACCGGTTCTAGGTCCAAGTACATCATGTAGCTGAGATCTTGTTTGCAAATAATTATGTCAATATATTTCAGAAACATCTCCTTTGTGCAGATCATAACGTTAAAGGTGGTGGGAATGGTTATATCACTAAAGCCTTGATGTGTTTTTACAGTCAGGAAGAGGCAGCCTGAGATTCTTGTAGTTTGACTTAGATTTGTACTTAATTTGCATTAATTTAAGTGCTTTCACTGAGACAGTCACAAAGATAACCCTTTAGTTTATGCTTTGAACTAGTCCTTCTGAAGTCAAACCTGAACCACAAACCTGTACATTGCTTGACATTATCAACTATAGGAGTTGCTCTATGTGCATAGTTTTCCAACATTTTTATAATCCTTTGTCTACATCAGTGATTATCAACAGGTGGGCTGAATCAGGCCCACGACTGGGTTCCACTAATATGTTAGACAGAAATGTGATTTTTTATTTAATTTAATCAAGTGTCTGTCCAGAACAATTCTGTCCCTTCGACTAATACAGTTGGTGACCCCAGGTCTAGGTTATGGTGTTTGTATGTTTTATTATAAAGTATTTGTTTGCAAGGGAAAAAAATGTTTCAGTTTCCTACTGCAAAACAAATTCTTTATGTTCATAACTATAATGTTGTTGAGGGAAAACAAAACCTGGTGCTAAAATCATAACGTGCTCAAACCATGTTGATCTGGATTTAACAAGCTTTAAATCGTTTCTCAAAAAACTGTTAAAGCAGCTTTTAAAGTTTACAGTGAAAACAGTCTTCTAATTTAGAAAAAAATGTTTGTCTCACATTGTCACAGATACCTTAAGTATTTGACCAAGAAATACCTGAAGAAAAACAATCTTCGTGACTGGCTGCGCGTCGTGGCTAACACCAAGGAGAGCTACGAGCTGCGCTACTTCCAGATCAACCAGGAAGAGGAGGAAGAGGACGAGGATTAAACCCGTCATCATTTTTGTACATTTAAATAAATGTTGTTTACGGTACACAAGCCTGTCTTGGGTTGTTGATGTTTTCAGTAGCTGCAGCAGACTCATGGGCGGTTTGTAGATCATTTTGTTGCATTCACATCTTTAGTCTTTGACAGCTAACCCAAAAGCCTCAGCACAAAAAAAAGAAGCCTTTAAATTTAGATGATTTTTATTTATTTAATGAAAAACAACAATGTAGCCCATATAAAAGGAATGCAGTACAGATCAGAGACAACAAAAAAACACCTGTGCTGTTTCCCAAACGACAAATCTTTTCCAGCACTTAGTGTACAAAGAACATTTGTAGACAACACATCATGGTTCTAAAAAGTTCAGAGCTGCTCGTGAAACCGATTTGAGTCCTTGAATAATTCATGAGTCAAATTAGCCACAAGTAATCAAACAGTATGGTCTAGGAAGGACTGAGGTGTGCATCCGGGATGCAAAAACACTGAAGACAACAAAAGGAATGTAACATTGAGTGAAGTGCACTAAACTCAGAACATCATGTTCCAAAATCCTGATTGTAATCTGTGGCAGTGGCACACACATACACATTCATATACACACAGACACACACACTCCTTACACTGCCCTGTCATTACATCAGACTGATCAACTGATTCTCTGAACAACAAAAACAGAACATCCATAACCTGAAGAAATGTGTAGAAAAAGGCACAGGTATGGAGTGTTGATAAATCTTTGAAAAAGCCCTCAGGAGAGAAAACACCAAGGGCTCTGCTGTAGCACCCGTAAATGTGACTAAACAACGCTATCATCTCAAACATTGCCACGAGAAAAAAAACAACAGACATGAAGACGTCAATTATTGGCCGTATTATAAAATGGAAAAAGGGGTGGGGGAGTGGGAAGCACCACTCTGCTGTGTGTGAAGTGTTGCAGGATTAAGGGACTGTTGAGTGTGACTGCAGGAGTGCCCATGATCTGTACCATTATCTCTGATTTCAGTGTGGGTTTGCTGGTAGTTAGGCTATGTAAAAGAAACCTTTCAGACTTGTGACTTCATCCTTCCCCCGACCCCCACCCCCATTCTTCTTTAACTCACCTACCCCACTCACAGATCAATGTGACCAGCACGTTTGTACTGAGCACCACCGGTTTCTGCCCCAGTAAAACGGTTGAGGTGTCGACAGATGATCAGAGTGTTCGAGGGTTGTACTCAGGCAGCTTTTTCAGTTTCTCTTGTTCCTGCTCTGTGTCCTGTCTGGCAATAACCAGAGAGTGGGCGTAGCCCATCTCTACCTGTACCACAAAAATGACAACAACAAAAAATTACGGTGATTTCAAACTCTCATTTACGGAACTTCCAGCCAATTGATGGATTCATGAAGATTCTTTTTAAGAGCCTCGACAACATTTATGTTACTTACTTGCTCAATGAAGACGCCATCCAAGGTCTTCACCTCCTGGGCAGTGGTGGAGGATTTGGGTTTGTTGTCTCCATATCCCTACAGCGCATCAATGATTTAGTCATGCGTCTCACAGGAATGTTTATAGCCTTAGCCTCTGGCCTTAACCATAATGATGTCTGCTGCATCAGGTCTTACCAGTTCTCCAAATGTAGGTGATGGCCCCCAGCTGATTGTACTCTCATCTGCAGCTATGATGATGCTGCTCTTCCTGTTAAAAACCAAACAAACTTTACAGACCACAAATGTAGCTTAATACTGAAGAGCTGTGTAAGGAACTACAGTAGTGCTTCGAGCTTTTTCCTGACCATAAAAGTTACTTTTCTGCTAAGAATCAAATATGTTCAGTTATCACTTACCCACAGGCCAGGCTACGGACCTTCCAGCCACAAAGATCCTGCACAGATTTGGGATACATGGTGGACTCTCTGGAAGTGTTGGTCACCCCCCAGAAGAAAAGCCCTCCTGGAAAGACAACAGGTCACATTTATAATTAGAGCAACACTCACTACTGCTCTACTTTCAACACACAACATTGCAAATTTTGTTCCATTAGAGAAGCTGGACTTCAGGTTAAGTCAACATGTGTCTCTTTTCTTACCCATCTCATTGACAGCGAAGGAACACTGGTAGCCTGCGTAGATCTGACTGGCACCGCGTCCAGGAAAGTCAAACAACTTGACCAGCCGCGGAACCATCTCGTCCTTCTGCTCTGTGTGACCCAGACGACCGTAACCACCAAAGCCCCAGCTGAACACTCGCTTCTGTGAGTCCAGCACCAGCTATACACACACACACACACACACAGACAAACAATGTGGGATTAGTAACCAGTTAAGTCCGTTTCAACTATTTAATTGGATGGTGTTGGAAATTATATAAATAAAAATCAAAAATGAAAACACTGATCTACTTTCTCACCGTGTGGTTGCCCCCACAGGCCACATCTCGGACCACCACATTAGGTACGGGAATGACTTGGCCGTCCTTGGACTTTTCAATAAAGATGGCCACCCGACGAGGAATGAGCTCACAGTCAAACTCAATGCGCTGGGCACGAGCTATGAATTTCCCATCACTGTTGTGACCTGCAGAGGCAGCAGAGGGCGCATAAGATATATATATATATATTTTTATTTACATTTTTATTGCCATTCAGCAACATATGTAACATATACATCCATTTTAATCATTTGGCATACATCATCAGCATGTCTTGTTTTAATAAAATAAGAACAAAAACAAATTAAAGTAACACATAGGGAGTGAGGTATGGTTATTGCTACATACTGTATGCTATCTAAAGTAAACAGTAAAAATATGGACTGCGTGGTATTATGTATTACCTCCCAATAAGTGTGTGCAGTTTGGGAACATACCTAGCTGTCCATACTCTGGGCAGCCAAAGGAGTAAATGTTTCCTTTACAGTCCACCACCATACTGAATTCAGCACCACAGGACACCTTCACCAGAGGTTGACCATTGTAGGAAATCTATAAAGAAGAAGAAAAAATAACAATTGTGCTGAGGACTTGTGCTGCTCTTACAGGTTTCAATCTGGATTATTTTAAAAATAAACTGAAGCAAGTTCTAGTTGTGTTACGGTGGTCTTACTGGTGCAGGGCTGAGGATGGCATCAGTTTGATTGCCTTGGCCAAGCTGGCCCATCTTGTTCTCACCGAAAGAATAGGCGGTGCCGTTCTCTGAGGAAAAACCGAAAGAATTAAATCCAGTCACAAAACTGCCAGTGTAAAACACCCCTGAAAGACTGTAACCAACATAATGCTGCATGTGCATAATATGGTATTTAGTGATAGTCATGGGCTGTGTTTACCAGTAAGTGCCAGGGTGTGATTGCGTCCACAGGCAGCAGAAACAATCACATGATCTGCCAGGGCCTCAATTAACTTTGGTGCCTCCACACGTTTCGTGTCGCCGTGACCCAGCTGACCTTTGTCATTGCGACCTAAGAAGGTAAAAAAAGAGATTAGTGCTGATTACTGTCTATTCTAGTCAGTACTTCTGACTAATGTTTACATGCACTGTACAGATTTGGTTTCATTTGAACTAACACTACATTTCAGTGTTTCTTCCAGAAAGAAGCAACCTGGCTTTTTTTACCCCAGCTCCACAGCTTGCCCTCAGTGGTCATTAGGAGACTGTGAGCTGCACAGGGACCAGACACCACACAGCTGACCTGGACATCATTCAGACACCCATAACGATGGGGACCCCACAGATTCTGGCCCAGGTTACGGAATGCAGCTGAAAACACAAGAGGTAAGGCACACGAAACATTTTGATGTTATTAACACGTATAATAGACACATAATTAAATGGAATAATCATAATCTAGCTTACTGTATGTTGATAATAAACTTCTAAGTTAATAATAGTCTGGTTGTCAACATAGCTGTCACCTGTTCTTACATACTGTACATACAAATGCATTAGTTGAGATTATTGCCAAAATGTAAATATTTACACAATCACGATGTGTTTCATGATGCCACTCGACTTCATTCTGACAAAAACAACTAGTAATCAATTGAAAACCATTTTTGAAAAATGTGACATGGATGCTGTGTGTACAGGAAAAAAAATGTTCAACAACTTCCAATTCTGTTGTGTTTGTGTGTGTTACGGAGTAAAAGCCCACCAAAATAAATTATTTGAATGTGTGTTCAATAAGTGCTCTGGCAGGCACGACATCTCACCCATCTAGGGATGCTCTTTGTCTATGCAGCTGCTCCTGCCGACACCCCAACCCCCATTCAGTCCCAACAAAGCTGATTTATCAGCATGTACCAGAGTCGTGTGAGAAGCACGGATCAAGGCACAAAGTCTGCCCCAGGCATCAGAGGGCCCTCGTCAGGGGGGCCCGCACACAACTTGCATACATATGAATAGACATTAATGTCACAATCAATTAATACGATCTCGGTGATAATAACACATATGTCGCCAGTGCATGCAATACAAAGGCAAACATACACAACCAACGTGTGTTCCTATGGAAAACCGTAATCCCTAGTTGATGTTGACTTCTCATTTCTCATCATCGCAGCTAATCATCAGTATGAACATAAGGAGCTAAACATCCAACCTTATGATTAGAGTTGTCTCACTGACCGACGGAAAATATTACTAAATGATATGCAGCATCTGAGGCAGCAGTAATGAAAGATCTATTATTAAAACTGGGGAGAAAATATCTGATTGATTGTGACTGGCTTTTTTTACACTTTTGCTTCTCTCCGTGATTTAAAAAAAGATGCTTCTGGATTGCGTGCAAAAACATTTTAAGAAATCGCAATTTAAACAGCATTTTTAAAAAATACTCTTCACAACTCACTTTGTAGGAACAATACTAGTAATGATATCAGAGAAATGTAAACCATGAAAAAAGAAGCTTATCGGTCACTGTCATCTGTCCTATTCTGGATCTAGGCCAGCTATCTACTAATAAATTATTCTACCTTGTTGTTTGGGCACCTCCTTCCTTCCAATCAAATCCCAGTTGGTTGCCCCAAATATGAGCAGTTGACCTTTTACTTTTGGGCACTCGAGTTTCTGCAGAGAAAACAAAGTCAGGAGCATTCATGAAATGGTTCTACGCCACGTTCCAAACAACTGCAGCTGAACAGCAGCATATATTTTCAAACCAAAGGAACATTTTAAAAATTTAGACAAGTTTGACATTTTATGCTGTAGTATTATCTCAATTTTTTTTAAAACAATAAATCTGCAACAAGATAACACACCAATTTTGGTGACACAGTCATTAATTATAAAAGGTCTTAAATAAGGTAAAAAAAACAAACAAAAAAACATCATTCCACTCTAACCAGACAGTTTCCGAGTTAGTGCATCAAACCTACTATTTTCTCTTTGATGTCATCTGCCACAGTGACAGGCTGGAGACCAGACTTGGCTGCAGGTCTGCCAGGTTTCTTGTTATTCTCCTGCTCGAAATCGAACTCGTCATCGCTACTGAAGTCTCTCTCTTTCCTCTTCCCACTGACCCTCTTCTTCTTCACCCCACCATTTCCTGATATGTCTGTCACCTTCTTGCGTGGCATGTTTTCAAATAGCAAGCTGTTTCTATAGAGAGGCATAGAGGCAATGAGAACTTCACAGGGTGAAGGAAATATACAATAGTGACACATGTGTTTGTGTCTAATCTATGTTATAGACTAAATAATGTAAAACAATCCCAGATTACATCAACACAGTGTTATGTAAACAGATGATTTCATCCATTTACAAACAAACATTTTAACAATGCTCCTGGGGAGAATGTTATACAATAATTTTAAAACCTGGTAAAGCCTGGGCTTATTCCTTAAGAAAATCTTCAGATAAAAGTATTCAACTATTCTTAGAGAAACTTTAGTTAAAAACGTTACACCCTTGATCTTTATTGTGCAAGTGAACCTACATAAATATAAGCGTATTTATGTGTTAATCAACTGCGCAACTGCCCTTTGTCCGCATGTTTTATTTTATTTTTTTCGGGCAGATACATCCATTAGGGGGAAGTAATGAAATTTAAACCATGTCAGCTGGCATTATAAACTCGTGCGTATGGAAGAAGTACAAAGAAAAGATTATTTTCATTGTGAAGTTGTCTTGTTATACTTATTAACCTATGGACACTAAATACAGATATTGGTAACTTTAATTGAGGGGTGCTCCTGCATTTTTTTTTTAATAAAAACTTGTGAAAACACGCACGCTGCATCAAACTACTGAAAACTACAACACAACTACAGAACTAACTAGTCGACTTCCTTGCGGTTTTGTCTTTCACCGGGCGCAGCTCAATAAAGTGGAAAAAAAGTTAAACAATCGAGTCACTATTTCAATTAACTCCATTTAAGATAAGAACCAGTTAATTACCGACCAAAACTCATTAGAGCCATACCGGCGTCTGTGAACTGTTAGCCCCATTAGGCTAACGAGGCTAAACGCCGTCGCTCTTTGTTCGTAACGCTTCTGCCAGTTAGCAGCGGGCTAACAGAGGAGCTAACCCAGAGGGACAAAGTTAACGTTTCATTTAACAGTCGCAACACTAACTAATCATATGGCGTTTGTTTTCTTCAAATAAACACCACTGACCGCGTAAATAAATAAGCTCTTTAAGAACGGTGTGATAACCGGAATTGTTTCGCTAACGTTACCTCGCTACTGTAAGCTAACGCATCCATACTAAATAAAGACAAACGTTACATAAAACAGTGCCACTATATTTTTTAAAACAAAACTTTTCACTATTTTCTCCCCTAAATGCATTTGAGTTCACTGAGAGCGCAACCCGCGTGACATCAATGTGATAAAATGTTATTTTTATATATTTTCAAAAAGGTAAGAAATGTATAAAATCTGTACCGGCGATTTCCTGATTCAGCAGCTCTCTGTCCGTCTCCGGTTTGATTGATTTGAACAAAAGAAGCTGCAGTCTTGCTTTCACACCACGTGGTTTACATTTACTATTCATACAGGAAACTGAGCAGCAGCCACCAAAGCAAATCCATCCAAAAGCAGGAGAAAGGAGGAGGAGAAAGAAAACGAGAGACTGACACAACCACTGAAACTTCCAACAACACCACGACCAGTACCACTATTACTACCACTATTACTACTTCTGTAACTCCATAAAGAAAACTTCTAACTTAACATATTGACAGAAAAACAAACCAAAATAAGATGAGAAACGAATGCATATTTTAATAAAATATGTCAAAAGAACTAAAGACCCAAAAATAGATAGATGGATAGATAGAAGTTTAATTTTTTTGGTACTAATTAGTAAAACGGGGTGGTCGGTGGGGGTTAATTATTCCCTCAGTCAGTATTGTTTGATCTGACTGTCATCTTAAAACTCATCTGTTTAAAATTGGCTTCTCCGTCTGATATTCCACTGTTGTAGTTCACCTTGTTCTTAATGTTTTAATGTTTTATTGTTTTTTAATGCTGTGTTGTTATCTTTGTATTCACTGTAAGGTGTCCTTGGGTGAGGTTTATATATAGTAAGATTCATTATTATTATTATTATTATTATTATCTAGTCGTGTACTTGGAGTGTCACATCAAGGTCAGGGTTTGTGAAAAAATAAGAAAGATTTTGGAATATTCTCTAACTCTTCTTTCTTTCTACTTTTGATGTTTTTGTGGATGTCAGGAAAAACAAGGACACGACAATATCCAGAGTGGAATTCTTTTCTAAAATAAGTAAGTGCAGATAAATTCTCCTCCTCCCTCCGATACAAACATATCTTGCACTGTAAATGCAAATGGTTTACTTACAATATTGTTTAAGGTTGGTCTTCTTTACCTGGCCACAAGAGTGATGATATAAGACGTTAGCTTGTTTGGTGTCTTATTTATACCGAGGTAGCTCTAAGAACCATAAATGCATAACAGGTACAAACTATAAAGTTAATACGGTTCTCTTAGCATTTATTTAGGACAATTAAGATATTAAACCTTAGAATTAACTCTACTCTATTTGTACACCTATCAGTATCTCAGGAGAGGCAGTCATGCCTCATAGTATGTACCCTTGTATAGTCAAATCTTAATCTCCTTAAATGTGTTTTAAACATCAATCATGAAATTTTGCTATGATGTCATGTCATTAACACGATAAAAGGATGTGATCAAAGGCGCAAACTTGGGTATGTTGTAGTGAGGTCAAGATTCCTGAATGCCAGCACAATTGTGTACAAGTTACGGTTGACTTGTACAGGTCTAGGTTTCACAAATGGGTATAAGATTGATGAAACGCAGAGAGAGAGAACCCAATTACAAACTCATTTATACATTAAATGGGTATTCCCCAGTGAACCCGCTCGGGACGGGGGCCTTTGGAAAAGTATACAAATGCGTTTCAGTGGAAACTAAAGAGACAGTAGCGCTGAAGTCTGTGAAGAAGTGGACTGGCGAAAAAGAGGTGGCCATGCTGGAAAAACTTAGGACGCTTGACAAAGACAACAGCAACCTGATCAAGTTTAACAAGCATTTTGAGTTTGCTGGATTCTTAACACTGGAATTTGAGATGCTGGACATGGACCTTCACCAGTTTGTTAAGAGTTTCACCAGACCACTGCAACTGCCTGAGATTCAAGCGATCACCCAGCAGATGCTGGTAGCTCTCGATGCACTCAAGAGTGTCAGAGTGGTTCATACAGACATCAAGCCTGACAACATAATGCTCATTAATCACCAGCAGCTGCCCTTCAAGGTGAAACTTATTGATTTTGGTCTGGCCCATACTATTTCTGAAATGCACACGGGCACCAAGCATCAGGCCACTTTGTACCGAGCTCCTGAAGTTCTGCTGGGGCTTCCTCTGCATGAAGGTTTAGACATGTGGTCCTTGGGCTGTGTTGCAGCTTACCTGTACTTAGGCCAACACCTGTATCCGTCACGATGTGAGCATGAAAGGATGAGAGACACTGTGCAGATCCACGGTCAGCCTGGCGATCACCTGCTGAATTCTGGAGTTCACACCAAACATTATTTTAGTAAAGAGGACGAGTGCCCTCGTCCTTTGTGGAAGATTAATCAAACGTGCAAATGTCCCAAAGAACTTCCAAAAGAACGAAGAAATGCAGCTTATCAGCGTAAGTTCTTGTTTAACACGTTAGGCAGTCTCGATGACATAGTGAGGTCTTGCCCAGACCACACAGGGAATGAAAAGGCCTTTGTAAACCTCCTCAAAGAGATGATGGAAGTAGATGCAAGTGAGAGAATCACTCCCTGCAAAGCCCTGGAGCATCCTTTCATTACCTCAGCTCGAAGTTCTAGTCAAACCTCCAGCAGCACTGCTAGGTCATCGGTCAGTTTGGTTAAACCAGAGTGTGAGCATGAGAAAGCACCAATTAAAACAAAAACACCACTACTTAGGAAGATATGCACGTTCTTCAGGTTCAAGAAAACAGAATGTTTGGGATCCCTGGGTGCTGATTTGATAAATCCAACGTGATTGGCAAGCACACAACCAGCACACTACCTCTAACGGAGAACGTGTTTGCAGACACCAATGCAACATGGGGGAAGCTGATCTAATGGGGGCGGGGCTTTCAGGTGTAGCATCTAAAAACACATGGAAGAAGGGAGATGTTTTCAACAGAGGCTCTTGAGGGTAGTACTTCTGTCCCATCTGTTGTTAGCTTCCTAAGAGACCTGAGAGATGGTGGACAGGAGTGAAGCCTGAACATTGTTGAACAGGGTCGGTTTGACAACATTGTTATGATTTGATATTTTCATAGAATACCCAGCCTCTTACCCACTCTGCTGCGCTCCCACTACCCTCAAAGGATAAGAGGTATAGAATGACAGACGTTTTATAGAGTTCATATCTTTTAATCCAAAAATTAACTATGGGAGTTATTTTAGCAACATTGCTTAGGCACACTTTCCATTTATGCTCCTTTTAATTAATTTGACATTCACCACAGGCTGTACCAGAGGGTACACAAGTGGGCTTCCAGTAGCTAGAAACTGCTTGGTATATAGACGTTTTAAAAAAATACAATACAATATATAGATGCTCTATATATTGTATTTTTCATGCAATAGAATTTTTTAATATCTGCATTTATAGCAATGTATTCAATGAACTAAGGCTATAAACTGCAGCAAATCTAAATTAAGGTGGTGGTACACAATGGTAGCACCAACAATGCTTAAGATATATATATTTCCTACAACAACGATGAAAAAATCCATGAAAAATGTGTTTGTATATAGCAGCGCTTCCCAAACTTGCGAGGTTTGACACGCCCATAAAACATTGTACCCTTGTACATTAGCTGGATTTTAGCATTTTTGTCCCAATGACCAGTCAATAAAAATGGATAGTGATGATCTTAATATTAATATTATGACAACGTAATTGTCATTACCATTTTAAATATATTAAAAAACCTTCAGTGTTGTGTTTACAGATAGTATTACATTAATTGTAAATAAAACAAAACATGGTTTTTAGGGTCTTTTTCTCAATGAAATAATAGGTTCATTGAATGTCACATATGCTTACAGTCATTTAAACTGAGCCCCTGTCCAGAGACATTTTTTCAAAGAAAAATGTTTTTGTCCAATCTCACATGTTGGCCAGCAAGAGAAATAAATCTTTTGATCAGTGTTTTTCTTTTTGTTAAATTGAGATTCATCATGTATTTGTATTTCCTTTTGTATTTTTATCTGTAAGTTTTTCCAAGGAGGAGAAGGAGGCCACAGTCAGCAAAACAAAGAAGCCTCTGACAGTGAATGGTTGGCTTCATTCCATATCAGGCATGTGGAGGCGATACAGTATGAAGAAAGAGGCAGGCTGCAGACTGGCGAGGTCAGACCCCTGTCAACAAGTAAGTAACTAAATACAGCTTTATTGTCATTTTTTAAAACAGCTATGCAATATTTGTGTAAGTCTGAGTTCTGATATTCTTGTATCTCCCTAAGAGTAAAACTAATCTTTTGGTTTATATGAATAACAACAAAGATGATTGTGTTGTTTCCTGTTTGGTAACATTTCCTTTGAGACTGAGGACTGTTGTCTGTTTATTAAAGGGAAACTCTTTCTTCTCTCCTAGAACAAAGCATCCAGTAAAAGATCCTAGAACCACGACAATGGCACCATAACACAAACTGGTATGTACTGTATATAGGCAACAAATGACGACAAACCCACGATGGCCTGATGTAGCAAAAGTAACCAGTTGGATAAACAGGTTAGACCGAGAGACACGGTAGAAGGACTGTCTTAACAGCGCAGAAACAGGCATTTCATACAAGATAAATTAAAAGATGGACTGCAAATGAAGTTGGGATTGAAAGCAGCAGTGTCTGTGGTATTTGGAACGCTAGGGGGCACTGTGTCCAATGAATCAGAGTTTAAGCAGATTCGAGTGGGTCTTCGACCAGTTGATAGGAATACCTTTTGCAGAGTGTCCACTGTACTGTGTCTTTGGACAACTGTGTAGTAGATGTTGATTTGTACATATTTTATAATTGCTATCTGTAAGAGAAACTGCAAGTTTACCTTAAATCTCCGAGACCTGAGGGAGACGTGGTCTGTCTCACTAGAACAGCACATACACTTGTCATACAATAAAACAGTTTTAAAAAGAACCTTAGTTAATCTGTTGAAATGTCTTATTTATTTTATATGTACAATTACCACAAATGACACATCAATTGAAATATCCTTAAGCTAAAACAACACAAATTCAATCTATACAGACACAATACAAGACCAGGTCCAAACACATCAAGGAACCACAAAAGGTTTTCATCTGGAATGATTTAACCTCAGGGATAATGTGTCATAAATGAAGTGTTTTTGTCATCATTTACTTCATATTCAGTTTCACAGACCAATATTTAATCATTGTTCTACATAATGTTACACTGAGAATTGAGATTATTCAACTACACTTCTGAAACAAACTATAGTGACAACAGATATCACTAAACATTCCACAGTCTACCTTAATGCTACTTTACTTTCTAAAAACTAGGTAGCGCTAGAGCAGTACATCTTTTTGGCCCATTTTTGTTGTTCTCACTGGCGGTGACTTTATTCTTTGCTTCAGTCAGACATCTGGTCAGAACACAATGTTGAATTTTGCCTCTGGTTCTGCTGATTCTATGTTGTTTGGCTGGATTTCTGATCTTCTTGCAGCCCACCAATCACGGAGCCCGGTGTACCGAAGCTGCCAGTTTGGGGCTCCAGTTGAGCCGAAACGCTCAATCCAAGGAAGTTTGTCCGTGGTCGTGGAGGAGTTTGGATCTGTATTGATGAGACCGGGATGGAGGTGTGGTCACCGAAACTCTGAACTGTCACTGACGACTGGCAGGACAGACACAAACAAGTTAGAACATTAATATTTATTCCTGGTCTGTAATTTTTCCCTGTTATTCTTGGTGTTCTGTGCTCAGAATCAAGGCTAACCCTGCTGTAAAATATATATTTCTTTGTATTAGCCATAAACAACCACTAAATAATTTCAACTCACAGTTGCCACAGAGATGTCGCTGCCTGCTGCTGTTTTCTTCTTTCTGGCCATGCCTGGATTCCAGTGGCAGACCAGACTGTCATTCTGAACACTGTAGTTTTTATGGCTGACCAGCCAGTAGGTGTTCATTTTTCCTTTACCCTGACCAGAGAAGGAAGGACATAAATAAGGTCATAAACGTCATTATTACAAATATAACATCATTGAGGAGTTTTATGACTGTATAACTGTTGAAATTTTATCCTACAAAATAAAAGCGTGTTCATTTGAGAATTATTACTGCATATTGTTAGTCTCCGCCCAAGTTCGGATAAACTGGGAGTCTCCATCACTGGCCCAGTGATTAAATTACGTCTGTTTTGTACTAGTAAGTAGTAGTACTAGCGCAAGTTTTCAACGCCTTCAATACACATAGAGTTGGCCTTCCTTGTTACGTAAACCCTGGTAAAATTACCTTTGCAGAACAGTGACACCAAGTGGATATATTTTGCAAAATCACAAACGCCTACCAATAGAAGACAGCAGTGACTGAGTAATACTGTAGACATCTCACTCTTGTTCATAATTACACACTGCTACGACATGGACTAATCAAAATGATTTATGGGTTTGAAACATAGTAATACAATCTAATTTATTCTCCTAATTATACTGTGAAATATTATATTGTCATTTTGCTGTCAAGTCATAGTTATTCAGCTATCAGTTACACAAAACTAGTGTATAAAAAAGCAGGACTGACTTCTGCCTCACGACAACAAAAACTCATCCCATACCTTCACATCGATCTCTCCACGAAGCTGCAGCTCGTAGGCGTTGTCTTTGATCAGAGCCAAGTAGGTTTCTGAGCTGATGTGGATTTTCTGAGCTGTCAAAAAACACTGTTCAAGGTAAGTACTATATCACACAATTACATGATAAATGTTTTCAGTTTTCTTTATTGGAGGCAGTGATCCTCTTGTCTCATTAGCCGTGGTCTACAGCTAGAAATAATCTTTAAAGTAAATTGCTACATTGCCCTGGCACCAATGAGAACTACAGGTGTTTTTTTAGGGTCCAGTACATTTGTGAAGTGTGTGTTCAATGCACATACGCAGGCTGGTGGACTCCATTCGGGAGGCTGTGTTGACAGTGTCTCCAAACAGACAGTACCGTGGCATCTTGTAGCCCACTATCCCTGCCACGCATGGACCTGTGTGGTTAAAAATAGCAAGGAGGGAGACAAAGAAGTGGCACGTCTGTTGTCTGTAGTCACAGTCTTAGTGAGCCTCAGTATGAACTGGAACAATCTCAGACCTTAGTTTCTGCACTAGTGAGAGAACCCTAACTGAAGCCAACTCTGAACGACTCCCCTTCTTCTACATGTGTTGACAGTGAGATCCCTCACCTGTGTGAATGCCTGCTCGGAGCTGCAGTCTCTGGTTGGGCATGTGAGGGATGGAGACCTGTCTGACAGCAGCCACCAGATCCAGAGCCATCTTTGCAACTTCATCAGCATGTCTATCCTCATTCCTCTCAGGGAGACCACTCACCACCATGTATGCATCTCCAATCGTCTCCACCTGGTTGAATTATATGGTCACATCCCGTTTTAACATCAGAGGCATACAAATGGATTTATAAGGAAAAGCATCTCATTATATCCAGTTTAATAAGAAACTTTAAGTTGAGTTGAGCTGGACCCATCTGTTCATAAATCAATAATTAAATAAATCCAAGTCCCTTATTGGTCCCACAATGGGGAAATTCACATTGTAATCAGATGTCTTCCCTTTCTGCTCTTTCATAAAATGATGCTTTCAGGCACAATCATTCAAACAGATGGGACCCAGAAGAAGATGAACAAACCACTGCTCTTCAAACAGCTCTACAAGGAGGTAAGGTTGCACATTTGAATTAGAACATAATTGGAAATCATTATAGTGCTAATTAATATATCTACAGATCCCTTTTGTTTTTTGTTTTTTTTTTTCTGTTTCATATATTTTTTTTTCTATTTATGTGAATCGTTTTTTCTTTAAACCTTTCTTTACTCTAACTTTATAAAAATGTATTACATATCAGTGGACTCATAAAAGGCTGCATAAACAGGTGAGAACAGCCCGCCACCTTGTAGACATCGTAGGAGTCGATGCGCGTATCGAAACACATGTAGAGGTTGTTGAGCATCTCCACCACTTGTAGAGGTGAACAGGACGCAGATATAGAGGTGAAGCCCACAATGTCTGAGAAGAATACAGTCACCTGGATGAGAATAGAGAAGAGTAGAATATGACCATTACACAAACATGTGTATATCATTGTAACAGACAACTCTCCTAATGATATACCAGCCTTTCTCATTAGTGTCTAAAATTGTGAAATACAAAAAATGTAATCCAATTGAAAAAAATGTGCAAACAAATTGGTTAAAAATTAGTTAAGCACTAAGCACTGGAGCAGAGTCCTCTTTACGTTTGGTACAGCTGCTATAAACCTTTCAATAAACCAGACAGAATTTTCACCTGCATGACTTGTTTTATCTTCCAATGAATATGAAACAGGGCAATTATAGGTAATTACGCTAACAAAGGCAACAAAGGCTGCAAGCACAGACACTCAGTGAGCATGTCTGTAGATCTTGTGGCTGTTGCCTCTCCACAGCAACCCTTAAAACATTAAAAACTCAATGGCTTTGCGTAATGTTAAAGTAATAGAGCGGAGAGTCTTTGAGATCATGGAAGGAAGGAATGAATCTAAACTTGCAAAATGTAGCCAGAAAATATGTAAAACTTGACAAAATAAGGGCAAAATAGCTTTAAGCCAAAAACTGAATTTGGAAATACGATGAAAAAGAAATAAAAAGCCAAACATGTAGCAAATATAACTCAAGGTAGGTTGAGGAAATTAACCATTTCCTGAACGATAATGACAGATAAGGAGGAGGAGCTAAGTTATTCAAAACAAAGCTAAAAGGCTAAGACATGGATACACTAAAATTACCCAAATGACTAAAAGATAGCGCATGGACACAAAGTTAGGAAAAAACACCAATATAGCTAAGGGTTAGCTTATGATTTTACCAAACAACAATCCAATCAGCTAATACTTAAAACCTGTTTGAGAAATAAATAAAAACTTAATAGTAAAAACTTAGTCAAAAATATGTCAAGCTAAAATTGACAAATTTTACCAAATAAAAAAAGAAACATTAGGGAACAATTAAAATTTTAACTCTACGGACTTACTCAACTGAGTAAAACAAAAAAACCTTGAGAAATCAATACCCTTTTCCTCATATATATGAGTTAGGAAAATCATCTTTACCGACCTTATCATAGCTCTCGGCCTCAACGTGTTTATTTTGACGCAGCTGTTTGGCGACTGACTTTGGCAGCATTTGGTGCAGCAGGTTTTCGGCCAGCTGCCTCTGGCGTTTCAGGTCCTCAGTCTTCTCCTTCAGGGTACGGGCATAGTTCTGTATCCATTCAGCCATTTGCTTGAACGAGAACATGACCACTGGGTAGATGAGGCAGGCAATGCCCAGCAGGCAGATCTTCATGCTGAGGCTGGAGGACACGGATCGAGACGCCAACCTCAAAGCCGGTACTGCAGAGTCAAACAAGCACTGCTGAGTGTTGGTCAGAGCTCGAATCCCAGCCTGAGAACCAGATAGAGTCACCGTCTCCGTTCCAGAGATTGGCCAAAAATGTGCCTCAAAATTATTTTTTACAAACTGGCTTGAGTTAACCTCAAGGTCTATGTTCTCTAACCAGCAGTTGGCCAGCCGTTCTGACAGAAAGGTAGCAAAGCCCAAACAGGCCAGGATGGAAGTCCACTTGTGCTGGAAGTCTGAGTGAGCTTCTATGTGGGGGAAGTCCATCAGTTGATGGTTAAGTTCTGTAAATGTTACTACAAGTCTAGCAGACAGTACGTCTGTCCAGATGGAACTCTGCTTGACTTTGACTAAGGTATCATTTGTAGAACCCCAGACTTCCAGAAGTCTTCCAATGACCAGCGTCAAATCAGAAGTTCTGTTCTCACTTGTGCTATTTCCGTCCAGATATTCTTGAACAGTCCACCTTATCTCTGGACAAAATCCAGCCATCTCAACACTGCAGGAGAACCCATATTTGTTTCTGTGACCTGACATCTCACTGCACAGATGTTCTAATGTAGAAAACACAACATCTGGAAAGTTGCTTTCCTGCGTGTCATTGCCTGTGTGTTTAGCAAATACACGCCTCGTTTTTTGAAGCTCGCTGACCAGCTGCAGGATCGCGAGTGTCCTGCACGAAGTCAACTCATTGTAGGCAGCTTCTGTGGTGTTCAGCAATTCAAAGTTAGAGCTCAAGTCCATAGATACAGAGCCCAGCAGGGCCATTAGGGAGAGGATGCAGGCCGTCTGAATACGACGCACGGTTCGACTACTGCCAGAAGAAGGAAACACGGAACATCTGGAAGATAAGATTACAAATGGTGATGGAGCAGCCAAAAGGGTTAATAATTTGTTGCTCCTCATCTTCACTCAGTCTAGGTATTCATCACCAGATCCAAAGGCTATAGTCACAATTTAGTAGAAAAAAGTAAACATGGACTAAGATAGCAGTAATGGAACAAAGGCGTTGGCTCCATACCCCCTAAATAGAACCCATCTGTCTCTCTAGCTGCACACCTCATCACTGTATTTCTATCCTCCTGCTTGCCGTGCCTGCTAATTGTCAACTTTTCTGCAACTTCCTGATACAGGTACTGTATCTCAAGACAAAAATGCAAATACTTGACATTAATGGAGCTGAAAGTGTGAAACAGAATAGAGAGACAGTGGTGTTAGCTCCCTGTCCTGAATTTATAATTCTATATTATACCAGGACAGGGATATAACAACACAAATGGTCAGTATTTTATATATTATATGTGACACGTGCAAAGAAAGTTAACATTTTTTCTGTATCCCGGTATCTTTGGTCCTTCTCTCCTATACACTGGATTAAACTCTCTTCACGCTTCACCTGCACAATTGACAGTCGCTGTCTGTCTCCTGCTGCTCCGTGGGAGCGACCTTTCTCTTCTTCTTCTTCTTCTTCTTAATAAGTCTTCTTTTCAGACGAGCAGAGGATCGAGTCCCTGACGCAATACACTGTTTTGTCATCAAGTCCAGTGATGACATGAGACTTGCGCTGCAGCTCATCTTTGAGTTTCTTCGGTCTCTGAGGGGACAGAAGCGCGCTGGCACTGAGCGCTTTGAGAGCATCACTTGTCAGGCCAGTGCTGGTATCAAGTCAGCAGTAACAGCAGCAGCCTAATTTCCGTCTACAACCTTCAAAATAAAAAAAATATTTCTTATGTGGGTTATTTTATGTAGTCGACACCGTTTCTTTGAATGTCTTAGTGATGCATTGTTGTTACAAAATACTTTTAATACTACTAAATAAGAAAAAGAAGGATTGCGTTAACAGACAATAAGTCCAGAGTCCTGTCAGAGTGGGACTTGTAGCTGGAAGACTATTTTGTTTGGAAAAGTGACACTGTACTATCTAGACATCCCGGGGGCCCAGGGTCCATCGTCCAATCACCACTGTCCGTGATTCTATAATCAAGGAACTATGTCATTTATAATCATTCAGACAAGAAATCGTGGAAACACGAGGTTTTAATTTGTATGCAATAACCTGTAGGCATACACGTACTGCCAGGTCTGATCATTTGGAGCTTTTATTTTGGTATTGTTTCCGGAAATGGATTGCGTGACTCTCTGTAATTTTGAAATGTACACTTATGCTTACAAACAGGAACGTGTAAAACAGTTAGGACATGAAGGCTTCGCTAACTTCATCTGCGTTGTAGTGACGGGCTGGACTTTCTTTACTTCCTTGTGATTCTTATGTGGGAGTTTGTTTGTTTTTTCGTGTGTGAAAGTGGCGCACAGTGACCGCGACTCTTGTGGCGGAGGCTGTTGTCGCGGGGGTAAATGAACGCGTTGTTTAGAGCCGCGGAACAAAGAGCTTTTCTTCCCTCTGCCATTGTTAGGGAACGGAGGAGCGCCTGTTCTCTGACTCACCCACATCTGCTTTCACACTGGGAAAAGTAAGGACAACTACCGCTGCAGCGAGTGTCTGTTTGTTTGTCTTTTGTTGCCGAAAGGACAAAAACGTCTGTTTTAATGCTCGCCCAGTTAAATGCATGTGCACGAGTATCCAAGAAAAGCATTGAAGTGGTGGCTGCACTGCTGTGGGACGAGGCGAGCTGTTAATATTTGAACAAAGCTAATGCTGTGAAGTTCTCCGTGACCGTTAGTGTTTAAATGCGCTAATCAAATTGAATCATATTTGTTGTGACCCATTCAGTGAAGCGTGTGGGACTGAATGGGCTAACGGCTAGTTCTTCTGAAGCTTTTAAAAATCAACTGCATAACTGAATAATGCTGTGTTGGGCAGATAATTAAGGTTTTCTGTTAATACTAAGTTATTAGTTCATTATTCAGGTCAATGCTAAGCACTGCTGAAACGAAAACGGCAACACGTTGAGATATAGTTCACACTGTTCCAGTTTCTGGAGTTAGTTAGCAGTCCAACTGTGACAATTCACAGCCATGTCTGTTACTATATCTTACTACACTCAATATACTGTATAGCATAATAGTATTTGAGTTGAACGAATGTGATCCTTTAAATTCACCACTGGAGGTCTTAGACCAGAGGCTTGAACACACACAATCATCCAGACTTGAATTCAGACCAAAATAATTCCGTTATTTTTAAAAGATATTATTTAAAACTTTACAGTAAATCTTAAGTCTGTGTCATGACTATGAATGAAACAGTTCGTGTGTGGAACAAAGTGAGGGTATGTGAGTGGAAAATGTTATGTAGGGGATCTTAAAACTGCAAACATTTGTTTGTGCATCATTTCACCTGTAGAAAATGGGTATAGCTGTCAATTGATGCAGCCACCAGGTTTTAAACTGGGCAGCAATCGTTTCTTTTTCAAAAGAATTATATTTTGGTTATTACACACCGTCCTTTTTTTTTTAAAGAAAAGAATAAAGCAAAGCCAGAGTCTTTGCATAATGTATGACTGATATAATGAAAATGTATGTTGACAATATAACTGAAGTAATAATAAAGTCACTTTGAAGAGCCACTGTGGAAATGCCAGTCTACTTCTGAGGCCCATGTGATGTTTACTGAGCATGACACCATACATTTATCCTACTTTTTAGAATGTACATTTCTGTAATTGATATGATAAATACATTAATGTTAGCCAAAATGACAGATTTCTCAATGAAAAGCAATTACTCATTAGTGTGTAATATTGGATAATCAAAACAGTAAGGAGGGAGGGATGGAGGGATGTAACAGAGGTTGACAGAAACACTCCTCATATTACACTTCTTTCTCTCAGCACAAAGTTCTTATAAGGGGGCTTTTATATAACTGCCAGTTCCCATTTAGTGCAAGTTACATTTGGGTTTAATAAAACACTGCAGCTGTCACTTTTAATGGGAGTTTGGCAGACAGTGGAGCACAGTTGCCTGGCTTCTTTCACCAGCACCTGTTGACTTGAGCTTGTGCCGTTCTAACAGGTGAGGGCCGGCCTGTACTCCAGTCATGACCTCTGGGAATGGAAACACTAGCAGCAGCCAACACAATGGAGAGAGCAAACCAGCCCAGGCCTTAGTCAGGTCCCACGTCCTCACTCATCTCATTGAAGGCTTCGTGATCCAAGAGGGAGCTGAGCCTTTTCCCGTGAGTACCTGATCTTAACATCAAGGTTAAAATTGAACATTCTCCTGACCAACGAGTTAATGCTAAACCCCAGTGCCCCATAAATAGGATACTGTGCCATTGGAACAAAGCCAATTCAAAAGTTCAATTGAGTGTTTTATACTGACAGGGCCAGGCATTATATCTTTAAATGGCAATAAAACCATCACTTACTTTGATTTTAAACAGGTATGTTGTTCTATCTTGCTGTCAGGTTTTTGCCAGACAGTCACCCATAAAGAAAATTTAAAAAAATAAGGACGATAAGGAAATTATGCACCCTGTAAACAAAACAATAGGTCAACATTGGACACAGCCCAGCTAGCACAATATAAACATGTATTAATGTAAGCGGCAATGGATGGTGTAAAGGTTTCAGGCTTTCCTCTTTTTAAACAGAGACAGTTGTTGTTGCTGCAAAATAACAGAATGCTGTGCCTATGGTGAAAAAGAGTGCAACAGAGCATGTGTAGATAATGTTGTACAAGTGCTTCAGTGAGGTGCAGCTCTGTAAGCTACTATGGTGATGAATGTTCTCTTTATTGCCTCCAGGTAGAACGTCCATCATTTTCAATTGAGTGCCTAAGAAGACACACAGCAGACTCAAAGATGAATGGCCTTTCACCAAAGGGTAAAGTTTTTAAAAACTGTTTATTGTGAAATAGAAGATCTCTAAAAAAAAATCAGTGTGTCCTTTGATTCACAGCCCTGGATCACAAAAACTACTTAAAATAATGTATGTCTGACTCTTTGAGGGTTTGTTGCACACTGCGACTGCAATTGAATGGCAATTATCTGGTGCATACTAATCCCTTTTCAAGCTTGCACTATTGTTTGTTGAAACAAATAGATTTTGATGTAAAAATATCTGGAAAGTGTCACAATATATGCAGAAAGCGTTGGATAAAACTCCAAAGAAATTCCTGGTGCACTGTGTCTGGCACCAAGAAATAGGCAAGCCAAGACAAGAGTGACTGTAAATACTTTGTCAGGACATAATGAAAAGGTTTAATTTTCTTTTGAAAGATGTAGTCTTTCTGCCAGTTTTTGTCTAGACTGGATGCTTAGTGGCTCCAGGAAATTCACTAAGAGGAGTGTTTAAGAGAGATAAAAGACTGCTGAATCTATGGCCCAGCCCTGCTCTCACACAAATCAAAATAGTCTACCATTTTGAAAGCTGGTTTTCTGAAGACAGCAACCGTTCTGTGCAGGGCCAGCTGCCCTTTGTTGCCCCGGGGGCTTGCAATTAGTGAATGAGTTTTCATACAGCTCAGAGGATGCTGAACCAATCAAAAAAAGAATGTGGCTCTGCAGCACAATCCATCACATGGGCCTCAGCAACAGGCTCAGCCTCCCAGCAGGATTACACACATGGAGTAAAAAGATCCTGCCACCATAACAGAATTAAAGGAAATACATGAAAACCTGTGCATTTCTGTCTGTCTGTGGTGTCCATTTCTTTCTACAGACACCATGTATGACTGTGACTGTGTTTTTCAGATTTGAAAAGCCAACAGGGGCCAATGCTGACCTGCGAGCTGTGTGGCAAGGTAGACTTTGCCTACATCTTCAAAAGGTCAAAGAGGTTCTGCTCTACATTGTGTGCCAAACGGTAAGGATTCAGATCAATCCAAAAGCCTGTTGATGTGAGAATGCTTTTTTTTTTTACAATAACAAAAATCACAAAACATTGTGAGGTTATTTAAAGATTTGATGACCACTAGTAGACCCACTAATGTGTGTGTGTATATATATATATATATATATGTTATAATATTTATATTAAAAAGGACGAAGTCAATTCTTCTGTTGGGAATTTGGTATTGATTCATTGATTAAGCACATTTCTTAAATTTTTGTGTCATTCCATATTTTCTTCATTTATAGCTACAATGTTGGCTGCACAAAGAGAATGGGTATCTTCCCAAACCGAAAAACAACCCTGGAGAACATGAAGAAACAAAAAGTCCTAAATGGAAACCAGAAAAACTCTGATTTAGACTCTAAAAAAAAGGTATTCAATTGTCTTTTGTGTATTTTGTAATATATAATGCACAAATAGTTTCAGTATGTGATTCATCCAACACTTGTGTTCAAACCGTCTCTGTGAAGAAGCCTGCTGCTGCTGCCACTGCTGCTCCATCCACTGGTCACTCTGTCCACCCAGCACAAGGGGAATCCAGTCAATGTTCAGACTTGTCTGGCTATAAAAACACTGCGTCCCCAAATTCTGCATCACAACGATTACCCATGGTTCCGAGCTCTGAGCTGCCCTTGCTGCCCCACGGCTTTTTGCCCAGTGATCCTGGCCTGTGGAACATTGAAGACGTCTACGAGTTCATCTCCTCTCTGCCAGGTGGGTCACATGACCACATTTATCAACATTGAGAACAAAGTTCAGACTTGGGCGCCCTGTGGCAATTCCAGTGTCATAGTTAAGTTGAGGTTTCTCCATTTTCATAATGACGGTAGGCTCATTTTGACAGGTCTAGAGGTGTGATGTGAATCCAGGTGATGACTGATTTATTTTGGATGATGCAGGTTGTCTGGAGATCGCTGAGGAGTTTCGCTCTCAGGAGATTGATGGTCAGGCACTGATGCTGCTGAAGGAGGATCATCTCATGGGAACCATGAATATCAAACTGGGCCCTGCACTCAAGATTTTTGCCCAGATCAGCATGCTGAAAGACTCCTAACCCACCTCAAAACACACACCACACTCTCAAGGCAGCTGTGAACAAACAAGATGTGCTCAGGATCCCAAAGTTGGACTAAATAAGTTAAGTTCTACTACGCCACAAGTGTTTTGAGTGTTAGATATATATGTTTTGTCTTTTGTCATTGCCTGCTGATCAAAAGCACATCAGTGGGAACTGTGACCTAACAACTTCTTCCTGGCAGCACAACGTAAACCTCTACTGTGGAGTGTCTACCACCAGCAAGTTATTAATTATTATTATTAATTTACAGGTTTATTTGTCAAACTGTATTTATAGCTGTAGTGTCACAAAACCTTGGAACTTTGCAAGAGACAGCTGGTCATTCACATGTCTTTACTGTGAATGTTTGTAGTCAGGATCCATTTAATAATGGTGGATTGGACAGATGTCTTGTCTGCAACACTCTAGCAACATTAGCAAACATCGCTACCAAGTTAGCCTCGGCTTTTCTTTACTCACTGTTGTTATGTGTCTCCTGTTCTTTAGACTATTATTATTACAAGACAGATAAAGAACTGATGCAAAAGTGTTGTAGTGCTGCAGTTGTTGGGCAGACACTTTCCCACCAAAACTCTGTCATGAAGATCCACCCCCTGGGTGGAGAAGCCCTCTGCACACAGTTCAGCTGTATTGTTCATGTGTTGCTTTGGTTGTGCGCCTATAAGAATAAGAAACATTTGTCTTTGTAAGTGACAGCTGTCCAGACAATAGAAATAGACGATATCCCCTGATTGATGATTTTCTTTTTAATTTTATCAACCAGTGCAAAAACACACAACCACCACCTGCAGATATTTATTATCTGATATTTATATTTTTATATAAATTACATTCATTGCAAACACACCAAATCAACTGACTGTTACTTTCCTACCACGGTGCCTCCTTCACATAGCTGGAAGACTCAAGACTCATTCAAGGTAATGAGTTCTGTGACTCAGCATTACTCATGTGCTTTTGACTTTAGGGAAGACTTTATTAATAGAAGCTCTAAGCCAGTTGTTTAGAGAAGGCTGCCTGTGTTTTCTCCTGTGTTATTATAATGTAATGTCACATAGACATTTGATGACTGGAGACACTGTGTTTACCTTTTCATGTTTTTAACCACAGATCAGGTAAAGTCTATGCATACAGGAACCATGGGCTGCCATAAGTGCCTACAGTGACGGGTGGAGGCCGACTGTGTTACACTTTAGAATACTTTCAACCAAAGTCCAGCTACTTTTCTTGCTAAACTGGTGCTACTGGAAAAGTGTTGAGGCAGCCATGTATCGTGCCACTGTTAATGGTTTTTTAAATCACTACATGAACCATCAATCATAAAGCTGTATGTCATTCAGGATCATTATATACAGTTGAACACATCACTGTAGGGGAAAGAAAAATACCCACTGTCTACCTATGGTTCAAACACTAAGACAATGCATCTGCTTTAGAGAACCACTGTGATGACCTCTGTAGTAGGTCACTACTGTGACGTGTTGTTGTTTTTTCACCCAAGACAGACGGTTAGTTATAGACACTGTTTTCATTTCCTTGAAAGATTTTTGTTCAATTTGTTTTGACTTATTTTTTTACTGGAAATATAACCATTAGTTAAAACAAAAAAACGAGTACTATTATTTTTCCTGACCATCTGAAGTGTTTACAGACACAACAGACACCAGAAGTCCTGAAAAGAAATCCCCTAATGTGAAGTCTGAGCGGGCTAATTATGATCCAACTCAACATTTTGTCTCGTACGGAGGAGTTCATGGTCTCATGTCCCAGTTTCTTTATTATAAAACTAAAAATAATTTGCATAAAGTGCTACCTGATAGCACTTTGTATAACACAGATGTACCACATTTGTTTGGGAAAATTTAACCCTTTGAACTGTAGAAAATACTCTCTTGTTATAAGAATAGTGAGTCATTTTGACAAAATTGTGGAAAAATGGCAGGTGTTCAATCAAAAAGACTAGTATTGACTGTTCATATTGCAGTTATTGAAAAAAAAATTAGTAAACTTAAATATTACTAAGTTGAATCTAATTCAGTCCCTGAACTAGAGTTCAGTCTTTTCTCTACTGGAAAGAGCTGCTACTGGGAAAATATAATGAAATTGTGTTTTCTTTAACTACTTTGTAAACTTTGGTGGTAAAGCTCGAACTTCATACAAACCCTTTTTAATGTACTGTTCTGTTATTGTGTAGAAAACAGAAAAATAGAGGGAAAAAAAATCTTCAGACAAATTTGCTCAAGATAAAACCTTATCCTCCCAAGCAGAAGACAATTATTTTTATTATTTTTGGCTTCAGTTTAACATGACCACACACCAAACCATTCAAGTACAATCCAATCTGGTTTAGACTTGAAGACTCACAAGCGCAATAAATTATCAAATTTCTTCATTAAGGCAGAATCAGTAGTTCACATCAAGTCAGGATAAAATATTGGATAAAGCCACAGACACACACAACAAAAACATAGTGATCCCATCCTTGATCAGAAAATCATGATATTTTTTTTAACCCTACGTTTACATCTACCTCATGTGGTGCCAACAAGAATTAAAACAATATTCAATTTGCTTTTCTGCACATTAAGTTCCTGCTTTGTGTCACAAGGTTTAAAGTAGAATGTGAAAATTGAAGTTTACACTATTTGGTTTAGAAGGAAACTGTAGTTCATCCTAGATATAATTGCTCTCATTGATATCCTAGACTTCTTGGATCTATGTTAACACAGCTATGTTTGATTTTGAATGTATGTCGAGTAAAACAGGGATCACAGGTCTTTAACCGAGTTTACACCTCTGTGTCTTGAATTGCACTAATTCAGAAAATAATACTTTCAGGGCAGTTCTTATCTCAGCAACAGACGTTTTCCAAAGAAAAGATCACTGGCAGCAGCTTTAACTTGATCTAAATATTAATCCTTTTTGTGGGGAAACAATTTCCTATATGCCGCTGTTCAAATCTGTTTTATTTAATCATGAATGTTTAACATTGGAAGTATTCAAATCTGGGCATTGACTTAGGCTGTTATTTCAAGTGGAGACTGTGAGCTAATAATTCGTTTTTATTCATGCTACAGACGTATTGATTGAAATTTATGAAAAGTAAGTGAAATGTTGAAGTGATCCATAAATCCACAATAACGATAGGGAATGCCAATAGAGCTGGGGTTGAATATGGTTGCCTGCCAATGTGTTCCTGGGAAAATGAGGGAAAATGATTTAACGTTTCCTCAGCCATTTGGTGGCGATCACAAGCTTGGGGCAGAAAGTGCGAGCAAAACTACCAGTATTGACCTTCTGAAAGTTACTCTAGTTAAGGGATCAAAATCAGAATAAAGCTTCGGTGACAGGTCACATCTATGCAGCAAATGAGCTTTAAAAGGTCTGTTAGACTTAATACATTTGTCTTACACTTAAACAACTTTTAAACTATGGAAAATGTCTCAGGTCTTCTGTGAAGAATGAGAATTTGTGTGAAGCGTTTTATGAATATTAATGAACTGGGCTTAAGATGAAACAATCACATCCTTCTGACTTCCAGCCAGCGGATGAACTTAATAAAGCTCCCAGTACTGATACGGAACTAGAATACAGCTGCTATGTCATTCAAAATTAACGGAAAATAGCACAAAGGGGTCTGAAGGACAAAACACCCTAGAGAACTAATTTAACTACTCATGGTAACTACTCTGGTTATTGTACCAGCCCTGGACTGCACACACACTTACTTCACCTCACCTTCACACCGAAACACTGTCAGCTGTGAGACAGGAGACAGCCCAAAGCTGTGAAAAATGACTGAAACCATGTTTAAACATGGTTTCAACACCTGATTAAACAGCTGCACACACCAATGTTAAAACCTGTCATGCCGCCAAAGCGCAGGCAGAACCACTGCCACATGTGGGTTGTATGTGTGTTCATGCAGCGATCTTGACGTCGCAGTTGAAGCCTTCCTCACTTTTCCCAGTAACCTGCTGAAGTCAGAGGAGGGAAACACAGACAGGCTGAGGGTGAGGGATCTGAGTGCAGCAACAGAATGAGGAATGATGGAAAAATACTGAAGAGCCAAAAGCCAACCCATAGATTCAATGTTAATTTAATCAAGTGGTTCATTATAAAACATCATCGGAAAGGCAGAAATAAAACTTTGAGGAAAAAAAGATGAAAAGTTGCAGGAAAAGTGAGCAAATGGCCCATGCTGATCAGAGACAGGCGTTCCAATAACTTCACTGTTCACTGAGGGTTTATGTTCTGTAAACAAGTTGGCCTTTTAGATGACAGCAGAAGCTGAGAACTTTTAGCACCACTTGCAGGGAAGCTGTAGCGTTCCACAGCAGACCTAAACTTTCATGCATTAAAGAGGTTTTTTTTCTCCTGCGGTGAAAAGAAATTTGACATCTTCCCAGTTTTACTAGCCAAAAAAACCTGGCAGAACACAAGTTTAAGTTCTTGTTTGGGTTTTTACTTAGTAAGATGTCAATGCTGGGGCCTAATTATAAAAATATTTTATATTTTTTATAAATTAAGGAGCTAGAACTACCCCAAGAGCTTACGATGTTTGTCAATGAGTGAATACCGGGCTCTGACGAATGCATTCGTAAGGTGACAGAAAATGGCGAGGAGGATGCAAATGACACCAACTGATTGTTAGTTATCCAAAACACGTTATCATTGATGGCACCTTTAAACTAAAATACAAAATAGATGTCACATAACCTTCTAAAAATACCATAATTTAGCAAATGTAAGATTTTTTTTAATGTGAAACAACTGTCCTTTGGAAAAAATGTGAATATGACACAAAGTGGTACAAATCCTAGCAAACAAGAAAAAAAATAAACAAATGTCTGGTTGGGTAGAATTAAATATTTACTCTTGTGCTTGATTTCTTCTACTGTGATCAACAAATGCTTTACATTTCACACATGGATGCTGTGCAGAGGAGCAGGTGGCTGATTCTGACTTTAAGCCTCTCATTTTCAATAAGTGCTACTTTCACACCGGTACTTTTTGGATTTTTTTTCATTGCTCACTTTTCGCTTGGGGGAAACATCTGTAGTAGAAAAAAAAGAGAAGTTTTGTATGTGTAAGGCTTGTGTCCTATGACAAGCCAAGATAGGACATGAGATGTGAAAAGAAAAGGTCACCCACCGAGAGAAGAGGAAAGTCCAAACTAAAAAAAAAGAGGAAGAGGAATTTCTTTGCCACCACACACAAAAAGACAAAAACCAAAAATGATCAGTGTGCAGTTTTTTTCTAGCTCCTGTTTGCCATCGTTTTTATACCTTGCTCCTGAAGAGTGGCTTGGCTCCAGGGCCACAATATTCGTTGTATATGAGCTTGAAGAGGAACCGGTGGCAGAGCGTACTGTGAGAGACCCCTCTGCATACACAAAGGAAGGGGCGCGTAGGTACAATATTCGTTGTATATGAGCTTGAAGAGGAAAAGGTGAAAGAGCGTAGTGAGAGACGCCACACTGAACCAAAAGAGGAAGGGCAGCCCCGGGTACCTGATCGCCATGTGCTCCTTGTGGGCCAGGATGGCCTTGAGGTGCAACGTATGGCGCAGGTCCTGCAAGTGGCGCAGGTCTGTGGAGATATAAAGCAGTGGTGTGATGGGCTGAGTCACCATCACAGGGAAGGTGTGACCTTTGACTTCTGATGTCAGCTCCACAGGCTCATTGAGGCAGCCTGCCTCACAGGCGTAGAGCTTCACCGGCTCCTCCTGGGGCTTCACTGACACGTGAAGAAACGGTTTCCCCTCTGCATCCAGCAGGACTGCCAGGTTAATGAGGTCCTGGTTGTAGTGGATTCCTCTTAAGGCGTAGCTGTTGTGAAGTACATCTGGATCAGCCTGAAACTGAAGGTGGTTTTCTGTGAACTGGAGACCTCCGAAGCTAAGCACCATGCCCTGCATGGCTCCGTGGGCCCCAGCTGCCACCAGCACCTTGCAGCCTCTCTTCTGCAGAGTAAGGGTCCACAGTGTAACCAGTTGCAGGATCTGCGCAGCGCTGCTCACACGCTCAGGCCAGAGGTTCTCTGCATGCATGGTGGCGTGGCCACTGAAGCAGTGGTCGGCGTAGTTGAGGCTGGATTCGAGTCGTGCACGCTCATCACTGCCCAGCCTTTGGTCCAGCAGAGGTGCCGCAGAGGAGGAAATGATGTAGTACAGAGTGGTGTTCACTGTGCGGCTGGATGGTGTGTGGGAGTCTGTGATCTTCCTCATTTCAACGCCTAAAAAAACAAGTAAGCTCTGTTTTATATAAACCTGCAAGAATGTTGAAAACTTTGTTGTACATTTGCATTGGGATTGCTCTCTACATTTGTTACTATTTAACCAAGATACATTAATGAAATACATGTAAATATACATAAACGTAATTATTTCTGGTAGCTTTAAACACAACAGCAGCTTCCTTTAACCTAGACTCACCTGAAATGAAGAGGTCCATCCAAGCCTGCTGGTGAGACATCACCAGCTCATCAGTACTGGCTCTCAGCAGCTCTTCCATTTCCTGTTTGGCTCCTTCCCTTAGAGCACTGAACGTCTCTTCTAGCATGGATGTGTCAATAGGGTTAGACGTCCAGACCACTGACAGAATGTTGTCTATGTACTCAGACTTTGCGGAGACCTGAATCCTGCTGTTTATCTTCTTGGTGACCACCACCACCAGCACCATCCGGTTACTCTCCAGGGGCACTCTTCCGGAAGACAGCAATATTTCTCTCTCATCTAGCTTTTCCACTGAACTGGAGAACTTGCTACCAAAAGAGGGATTGTCATAAGAAATTTCCAGAGTAGCATCTGTGTCAGTTGGGTTGTTGATGTGAATCCTCTGCAGGTAGACATTGGATCTGCTCCTGTGTGCGATAAACTCCTCTCTAATGGTGACACAATCCCGGGTTGACTGCAGAGCACAGCGGACTGAAAGCACAGCTCCTTTTCTGAACCACAGCATACTGGCCTGCACCTCTGTTCTCTTTCCCGCTAGATGAACACCAATTCTAGGTGAATATTCAGTCTGATGGACCGGTGCTGAACCAGCCATAGAGGATGAAGCCACCCACAGTTTGTTAGAGTCGATGTCAAGCAGAATATGACCATTACCTGATACAAAAGGTGTGTCCAGCGGTTCTAGAGGCGTGCTGTATATTGCCTCTCCTCGCTCTACGAGTGACTTCCACCTGTGGATTTCAGCCAATAAGCACTGTCCAGCCGCCCCACCAGGCATGGACGAGCTGCTAAAAGGTGACCATCTGCGCTCCGCCCCAAGGTACCAGTAGAAGATAAGGAAGAGCAGCACACCAACGAGGAGTCTTCTCGCCCAGCTGCTTGACAACAAACCTGGCAACCCCTTCAGTCGCTGCTGCAGCCACATTGTCTCTTCCTGTTAACAAATGCTCGAGAGCCTACGAGTCCGAGGGTCAGTTCTGCAGCCACACTGTTCAGACTCAAACTCCAAATATGTCACATCCGTTTGGGCATAAATTCAAATCATATTAACCGAGCTGAAAGCATAAAACTTGTTTCAGTCACGAGCTTCCGGGTCAGTTAGCTTAGCAAGTTGGCTAGCGCAACGAACGAAAGATATCTAAAAGCTGTTATTTGCCCAAGCATCGTGGGCATCGCCAAGCCAATCAGTGGCTGTTTGCACCGTCTCTAGGGTGTCACATTTCGTGTCGTTTCGGGTCTTCGTTCCTCACAGGTAAAACGAAAACAGCCGCGTCTTCTGTTAGCCGTGACCAGCGGTTGACACTTCTGGTTTGTCACAACTGTCGTAAAGCAAAACAGCACAACGATTACTGAAAATGTCGCAAAATTTGGGAACTTACAGAAGCGGGTTAACGTAATTTATGTTAGCTACACCAGAAAATAGATATTTTTATGTGTACAGTAACGAAGGACTACTCACGTTTTGCGACATGCCTAGAGAGTAATAATGGGATAAGCAAAATAGGATATTTTAGAAGTGAAATTTGAAAACATGACAATTAAAAAGTTTCAACTGGTAGGAGTGTAAAATGTAAGATATTTGATAAAAACTACAGTTAAGTTTTAAATCTTTACTTAATATTACACGAATTCTTCTTGCTGCTTTTCTCTGTGTAATTGTTAAGCCAATCGTTTTCCTACATCTCATATATCAGCTTCAAGAGGATTGTTACTATTAAAAGATATTTAGTGATGGATGGATAGTTGGTCAAATATATTTTTGCCTAAATCAGATCTATATTACGACGCAGTGTAAGGGATATTGTTGGACCACTGTAAGAACTAAGTGGCATAAATATGTATGAGAATAAAGTCGTAAATTAACAGGAATAACCTCATACGTTTACGAGATTAAACCCGTAACTTTAGATTACTGTATGTGTTTTGAAGAAACGAGAGAAAAGCATACAGCGTTAAACATACGTGCGTCAGAATGAGAACCGTGGAGCATCCAGTGAAGTTATACATTGGATTCACAAATAAGGAAATGTTTCATCGTCTGGCTCGTCAGTATCACATCAGCATCACATTCACAAACTTAAATAGACGGTTGTAACAATATTTATTTATTTTAACTTTATGACATTAACTTGCCACGTTTCCTTAACGTGACGACTAACACCTTTTTATCCTAACGTTAAGACTGTATCCTCGGACATTTACTTGGATTTTTTCTTCAATGTGTTTCTAGTACTCCGTCCTACCAAATGATCCTGGTGGCCTCCTATTGAATAGTCTCCATATAATATAACTTTTTTTTTTTTCAAGTCACTACAGAGTAGGTTAGGCAAATTTAAGTCAGGTTTCAAATAGCATAAGTCACAAAGGCGCGTTTGTAAAATTACTGAAATCATATGAATGCTAACAGTCATCTGCTGTAATCACTTTTTTGTATGAATTATTCACTAATGATGATGAACTCCATATCCGGTGTTTTTTCTTGACAAATACAATATGTGGGCCCTTACATTTTAAAGGGGGTGATGACAAATTATTCCTTGCTTGTTCCAGTCATTACAGCACTTTATAGTTGAATGTAATACCTTTATCAAACATTTCCTCTTGTACATTTTAAAGACATCCATGTTCCCTCCATCCTTATACTAAGTTTGTACACGGACTGTTTGGTGGTGGTGGAGGGATCTGAGACTGGAGGCTACGTGCAGCAGCTCATGTACTCACAGTGCAGTTAGATCATCGGAAGATTTCCTCTCTCCACAGTGGGGAGCTGCGGATACCGGACCTTTCCCTTCCCCCAGACTCATAAATTTAAAAACGAGAGAAACATAGACATATTAAAAACAATCAATTATATCCTAAAATAATGTTGTGCAAAACTTTTAAGGGCTCAAATATTTATTTATTTTTATTACAGAGACTGGGGGAGGGTGAGAGACATGGACCTACACGGGGGCGGCGCTGGCTCTGGTAGACCACTTATGCAAACTTCCCCTTTTTCTCACCACCGCTACACTGGGTCAGCTGGGATAATAGTGGTGCACAGATTTCTCCTCGCTCCACTCCTCTGTACAGGGCTGTCTGTGAAGGACTAGAGATGAGACTGTGGACTTTACTGGCGTTTTCGGGGACTTTTCTGTGTGGACTCCTTCTGCCATTGACATACTGTGCGGAGGAGCAGCGAATTCCCGAAGGTAAGGGAGCAAACAACTGCGCTATAACATACAGTAAACATATATTATCTCGGTGCCACTCTGTTACAACCGCAATGGCCATTGTTCTATGTGGACGTAGAGGTTTTGACAAGTGATGCGGGGTTGGACATACCTGTTGTCTGAGAGAGAATTAACATTTTTTTAACTGTAATTCTTTGGCCTGTGACGACAAACCCTTGCTTTATGTGTTATCAGTGCGACAGGGACGCGGTTAAACAATAGTTTAAAAGTAATAAATATGCCATAGTTTGATATCTTAAAACATTCCCCGCTAAAGAGTGTAGATTTAACTGTACATGTGTGTAACGCGGGTGGAGGAGGAGGAAGAGGAGGTGCTGAGTGAGTGAAGGAACTCCATGCCGCTGACGTGGACGGGACCGGGCTGCAGTGCCTTCAGTTCAGCCGCTGATCGGCTGCGTCAATTCTTAGCTTACAGGCTAACGTTAGCCCAAGGCTAGTTAAATTAAGTGTTACAATAAAGTTCGTTATGCACACGTAACTTAGACCCTGGTTAAAAAAATATTTAAAAATGTCTAATTTTAATACAAGTTTAACGTTAACATATATCTATATATGTTTATATCTATATTTCTATCTATCAATCATTTTTATGAAAATGTCTAAACATTTTAACGTTTTTTTGTCCATAGTATTCACATTAAAATATTTGTTATACTGTTGCAAATTGTTTTTATATTAAATGATCATAGTCATTGTATTTTTTGATTGAAATATTCAGATAAAGTCCACATGTTTTCAGTGAAAGTCAAAAGGAATAGGTTTATATGTAGTCCTATTTGCATAACAGCCTCATTAAGTAAACTAGTAAGTGTAAGGAATTGTACACATTCTACAGTTCACTTTATATTTATATAGAGTAACAGCATTGTATATTTGACCATTGTAAATTAGATGTAAAAACCTCTGTTTCTAAAATAATTTTTATGATCAGGCTGGGTGAGTAATGCTTATGCTGTTTATACAAAGGCTAATTTGAAGGTTATGATTAGTTGGTAATTTAATTTAGCTTTCACTTGTCAGCTTTACTTCTGCTCAGAACTTAGCAACAGGATGCATAATAAGTAAACAAATCACTGAAGCTGTCAAATTCTTCAGGTCAATCCAGGCTTACGGCAAAACAAATGTTGCTGTTTTGTGTTCCCAGATAAACTTCTAGTCGTGACAGTTGCCACCAAAGATACAGACGGCTTCAGGCGCTTTCTGAGGTCGGCCAAACTATTTAACTACACTGTCAAGGTAGGAGCAAACAGCAATTTCTTGTTGTGTGGTCAAAAATGCCTCTTTGTCTATTGTTTGTACAATTCCTATTTTCCTATTAAGTCTTTTAACCCATCTGCAGGTATTAGTTAAATACTGTAACCACTGCTCTTTAGGAACAACTCATTTAAGTAGTTTAAACCAAGATTTTATTATGTCTTCCTTTGTATTTCTCAAGGTTCTTGGTCGGGGTGAGAAATGGAGAGGAGGCGACTACATGTCAGCTCCAGGTGGAGGTCAGAAGGTGCGACTGCTCAAAGCAGCTCTGGAAGATATGAAGGATGAGGACAAAATCATCCTTTTCATTGACAGGTAGAGAATACACTGCAGGCACACTGTAACATCTTAATGCAGCCTGCTTTTTGAAAGGTATTTTTTTAGCTTACCTTGAACTCTGCATTCTGCTTTTCCTGTCCTGCAGCTATTCACCATAATGTGCTTGAACTTGTCGGCTGCCATTATTGTCAGTGATAAAGGAGTTTACAGCTTTGTTCATTGTTTCTTTGTCCATTCCACTGATTTAACATTTGAAGAATAATAACCTACATGGACTTATGTAGATGTGATCCTGTCATCTTTTAAGCTAGTCAGAAATCAGAATAAGAGTCAAACTACTTAATTATTCAGAGTTAATGTGGATAAAAGTAAAGGCCAAATACGTTTTTCTTTCTTTTACTCCTCCCTATTTCACTAGATTTTCTCTTTCCACCTCAGTCAGCCAAGACAAGCTGCACTGCCCGCCCCTGACTGTGGCTCTGTTAGAGAATTTCTACTGGAATTTTCTTTTCTTGTGTTTAGTGAAAAGGCCAAAAATGAAGGAGATTAGGGTTTCTTTTTCATATATTGTTATTTTAATACTTTATATCTATCTATCTATCTATCTATCTATCTATTTAATTCTTTTTCAGCTTTTTTAAACAACCAATGTGAACTTTTGAACCTATGAACCTGTATCTACAGATTAAAAAAAAACAAAACTATATGTCTATAATTTAGAGGACACAGTTAACACAGATTTCTGGTGCTGAATGTGACCATTTAGAGTCTGTTTCATGCCAGTACAGAGTCATAATCATTGTTATTTTATGTGTACAACACTACAGGCGCCTGCTTGCAACAGAAATGTACGCCTCCTGTTTGTTGGTGTTGTTTATTTACTCTATATAAACATACACAAGTAAGAAATGTACACTAAGTGCAGCGAGGAGTTGTAATCAACCTCTCACGGCTCTCCGCTGCGTAGAACTCTCAAGGCAAGCTTTCAATTAACTTTAACGATAGCAGTGGTCAAACACATGCACAGTCCAGCCACAGTGTGCAGTAAATGTTTCTATTTTCACTCCCTATGTGACACAGCTACGACGTGGTCTTTGCCTCAAGTCCCAAAGAGCTTCTGAAGAAGTTCCAGCAGGCCAAACACAAGGTGGTATTCTCCTCTGAGACCCTGATCTGGCCTGACAGACACCTGGGGGACAAACATCCCCACGTCAGAGAAGGCAACAGGTTCCTGGGTTCAGGAGGTAGGACCAACTGTCCTCTCGGTCACAATTTGTTTAATGTTCAGTTGCTGTTAAACAGAAATGTTATAAAAGAAAATGTATTGTTTACTGATGTTCTAATGTGTGAAATGCCGTGGCAGTGAACAGCGGAACTGCAGGAGTCTAGTCTGGTTTTTAGGAATGCGTTTGAGTCTTTCTTTTTATAGCAAAGAAACAGCAGGTCTTTAGTTTGCTCTTTTTGGGCTGAAGTCATAAAAACAGACTGACGGGAGCCACAGGTCACTGTAATTTGAAACAGCAGACTGAATGCTAATGCTGTGGCTGTTAGCTTCTGATTTTCTAATTTAAACTAGGTAATCTACATGTGCCCTAATACTATGTCGCATTTTTTTCTTCTTCAGGTTTCATTGGTTATCTTTCCAATGTCAAAGAACTGGTTTCTGATTGGACGGGAGAAGACAGTGACAGTGACCAGCTGTTCTTCACCAAGATTTATATTGATCCTGCAAATAGAGTAAGACACATTTAAAACATGACAACAAAACTAATCGTTGTAACACCTTCTTGAGTGTATAAGAAGTATAAGCCTTTCATCAACAAATAGTTAAGAATTATTAATTGGTATAAACTGATTATTTTTTTGTGTGTTAAAAGACTTCATGTTCTTCTTGTCCAGATGTTTTTCATTAAATACTTCCGTAGCTCAGCAGAAACTCTTCCTGCTCTTTGTAGGAGTTTAATTAACAGA